CTGAATCTATGGCTTCCCAGGTGAATTTCCAACTCTTAGATTTAGAGGAGTCCTAGATTTTCTCCGAGCTATACAGAAGACATTTACATAAGTTTTTGTGCAGCATTGAAGCTCATTCCTTCAGTCTATTCCTTTCTCACCATATGAGTATCCAATAACTACCCACCTTGTGGTTACTGCAACTCAACAACTCAGAGGTGGATTTGAAAAATCCCACGAGTTGCATGAGAAATGAAATGCCTGTGATTTTTTTTCCCCCCCCACCCCTGGCATTTTTTCCTCAAAACCCTGGCATTTTTTCCTCAAAATCTTCCCACAGAACCGGAATCGAGTAAAGAACTGGGGCTGATGGTGCTGCCTGGGCTGCAGCCTTCCCAAGGAACAACCAAAAAATGATGTTTTCTCTCCGAAAAGTGAGCCCAGAAAAGCCTCCATGGGAATTTTCCACCAGAAAAACAACAAAACAAGCAAACAAACAAATCAACCAGAAAAAACCCCAAGGAATTTTCCCTGAACATCCTTTTGAAAAGTTCTAGTGGCAGGTTCTCTAGTGGAAGGTGTCCCTGGCCATGGCAGGGGTTTGGAACGAGATGAGCTTTAAGGTCCCTTCCAACACAGACCATTCCATGAGTCTACAAATGTATCTCCAGCAGAAATTCCTCAAACCAGCCAGGCTTGCTGAAAAGGTTGGATTTAAGGAGGTATTTAGTCAGCTTAAGCTGGTTGGGGGTGCACAGTCCTGGGAGGACCCCTTTAATCTGTGTCCTCTGGCTGCAGAGAGAAAAAGCCTCCTGCACATCTGTGCCTTCTCAATTTTGTGTTCAAAACACTTGAGAATCCCTCTTTTGTTCCTTGGCTGTCTCCCTTAATCCTTCCCTCAGTCATTATTCAATATTTGGTTTTGTGACTACATTATTTAACTTGGCGGAGCGTTTTGGGACGCAGCTTGAATAAAAGCCTCTATTTTTAAGCAGCGGAGGGGACCGACGCACAGGCAGGGAGGAGACAGCACTGACAGCAAAGAGGAGACCAAAGCTTCACCCATCAAAAAAAAAAAAAACCCACCAAACCAAACACCTCTCCAGGGAAAGTAGGCTGGCAGTCACAGCATCGTCATTCGAGGGAATAAATCAGCAAAGCAAACTCGGATGTCAGTAATTTTGTGACGCAGAAAATTGATTCGTACGTTACAATCAAGGAGCTCCTGCCTCCGCAATGCACGCTCGGCGTTTTTAACATAATTATTTGTGCAACAGTTTTAATGTTTGCAGCCTCCTCTGGCTGTCAACCTGGAAGTAAGTAGGGGGAGGAAAAAAAAAAAATAAAAATTTAAAATACTCTTCTTCAGAGACAGGATTAAAGAGAGAGAGGGAGGAAAAAAAAAAAAAAATCAATCTCCGAGCAACCTCCTTTGTATTTTGTTGTGACAAGCCTGAATTTAAACAGCCTGCGAAGTCAAAACAACAGGAGAAATATCAATACACATTAATTTAATCAAGGAACACAATTCTGCCAGGCCAGGCCAAACTTGGCTTTGTTTCCTCCCCGGTTTCTGTGGGAGCTGATGACACCCCACCACCCCCCAAGGCCTCAGTGGTGACTGGGGGTCTCCTCAAAGGCCCTGAGCCCTCTCTCCATTTGGATGCCTTCCCATGCAGAAATCACAACTCCCGGTGATGCAGCACCCCACTCACACACCTCCATCTCTCCTCCCCCAAAACCCCTCATTTTGCTGGCAAACCAGCCCCTGTTGGCCATCCTGCTGCATCCTTGCTGTGTGCCACGGAGCTTTCAAAGGACAGGCAGATAAAAGGGTAAACATGATAACAAAAAAACTCTTCTCCACCACACTTGACTCCGTCAAACCCCGGGCACAGCGCGACTCTTTGAAACAAGAATCTCATTAGGGAAGGGAGAGTTGAAAGGATGAAGCCCCCGCATACCAAACGCAGAAATCAGATGTACTTGACCTTTCAAATGAATGTACATTTTCTGAGCGACTGCTCGTGTCAGAGTAATTCAAACAGACACCTGATAATCCTCTTAAAAGGCTGAAATTTGGGTACTGGATTGAGCACAATGCAGCAGGATCTGCGGGTGGCCTCGTCTCCGTGCTCGGTCCTGCCCTCGCCCCCAATTTCCCGAGGCACCTCCAAGTCTTGTCCCCTCCCCGGGCTTTCATGTCCCCCCACACACAGAGGAGATGTTTCAAGTCCAGAATTCATTAGCAAGGAAACGTCTTCTGTGCTGACACAGCTGGAAACGAAAAGCTGATGCTCCTTAACACAAATTAGGTGATTAAATACTTTGGATGGAAAAGATGTGCCTCAAAAGCAAGGCAAAAGGAGGGGACCTCCTTCCAGACAGGCTCCAGCCACGTTGACTCCCACGTACAAGTTGAAGGACCCACTTAGGTCCTGCATGTTGTATATCAACATATGTCATGTGTGTCATGTTCCTAGAGAAACACATGAGGATTCCCAGAAAAGCCCAGTGGCTTCACAGGGAAACATTTACATAGTGAATGGTTGCAAATGGAGAGTTCACCAAGCTAGGGATATACTAATTACAGCCCAAAGGCTGTAAAAGAACACAGAGAGCAACTGCAAGGTTTCTTCATGGACAATGTTGCTGGAGAGGTCACCAGAATGAAATCCAGGTGTCTGTCTGGATCACCTCCCCTTCATAGTTTTTTGGATATCCTGGTCAGATCCAGCTGCCTGCCTTGATCTACAGCTCCATTTCCACCAATAACTTCTGGGCTTTGTTTAGCACATCCATACAAAGAGAGGCAGAGATGCTCCCAAGCCTTTGAAATCAGAGACACTGGGGAGTCAACAACCCAACAAACACTGGAAGAAAAGGGGTTTTTGGTGGCTATTTGTGGCCTGTGTCTATGAACAGCTCCACAGAGTGACAGTCTGTCAGTCTAATAATGAGTTTCTTTTGAAAAACACCCAAAATCAACAGCTTAGCATTTGCAGTGGAATCCAGGGGTGTTTTCTGACTGGTAAGGAATCTGGAAGCACACCAGCCCCCTCCTGATGTCACAGTAACATCAGCCCCAGCTATGGCTGCTCATGCACTCACATCCATTGCCAAGCAGGACAGGCACCTCATGGCTTTGTATCCTCTGGCAAGCCCTCCCCTTCCTCCTCCCCTTGAGTTCCCCAGCATCCAATGTTAATTAGCTAATATTTGTTTACATCGTTCCTTTCCCTTTGCCTTTTGATTCCCACTGCAGCACATCAGCAGGTCCAGCATGGGATCCTGGGGGAGCATCACCTTTGCTGGGGAGATGGAGGATGCAGCAGTAGTGGGGAGGGTGGGATTGGGGGGGCTGCACTGCTCCCTAGTCAGCCCCCAAACACACAGGAGAGGATGGAAAGAAATCTCTTGGAAAAGTCAAATGCAAGGGGATAAACCAGCTTATTTCACCAGCCCACTGCCCATGTGGGGACTACTCCTGGGAGCTGCCTCTCCCTGTCCCAACCCTCCCGAGTTCCAGGGAATGGAGTTCATTTTGTGGATTCCCAACCAAACCTCCAAAGAACCACAAATTCCTACTCTGAACCAGCAGGCTGAGCCCCATCACTGCAGCGTCTGAGCTCCAGCCCTGAAATGATTTCTTGTTTATCTGACGTTTCTCTGCAGGCCACCAGGAGAAGTACAGAGCTCTGCACACCTCCCAGCCCAGTGTGCGGGTCAAGAAACAGTGGGTGACACCAGGAGAAGCCAGCACCTCTCCTCCCACGGGGACTCATCCCTTTGTCCCCCTGCACGAGGTTCCCCCATGCTCCTCCCACACTGTCCCCGAACCAGGACCCGCTCTGGCATGTGCCAGCAGCCACATCCCCCCCTGCCCGTGGACTCTCGGGCGTGTTTTTCACCCCTCCTCTCAACGCTTCCTAAACAGCTCATGAATTTTATAAACTAAACTCATTGTAACCAAACCATGAAATTGCAAATTTAACTCAGTCAACAAACAAAGCTTTGGCAGGGAGCTGGGGCTGTCCGAGGCAGGGCTGCTGTGCTGCCTGGGCAGTGGGCAAGGTGGGAATCTGCTCCGAGGGGCACTGCATCCCGCTCCACCCCCTTGGCCACGGGGCAGCGCGGGTTGTGCAGGATGCTGGAGCATCACAGCCTACACAACCTCCCACCTACACCCAGCCCCTTCAGCAGTGCCAGCCACTCCCGCCACCCTTCCCCTTCCTGGCCATTCCCACTATGGATTCAAAAGCACAGCAAAGCCTCAGCAGCCCCAAGACCCTGGGCAAAGCCACCCTGCCCAGCCACAAGGGCTCTGCCGCAGCCCCCAGGTCCAGCCAAGCCTGGCTGCTGCCTCCCCCTCGCCTGGCAGCACTGCACACACTCTGTCCATGTCCAGGGTGGTCGGGAGAGCCTCGTTAAGTTAATGGAGTGCTAATTAGCTGGCAGACCGAGGGGAGGGATTGAAGGCGCTGCCTCATTTGCTCGGTGGAATTGGGCCATTAAAATGAAGGGTGAGCAGTCTGGGGATGAGGTGGGGCGGCAGAGGCTGCCACGCTGCTGGAGGGACGCAGAGGGGTCTCCCTGGGGACAGCTGGGGCTACACAAACCATTTTTCCGGGGTGAAGACCAGCTTTTGGCACGGAGAGAGTGGGAACAAACTGCACTGTTGCTGCATGCACCGAGGAGGACAACGGAGCACCACCAAAGTGATCTCCTCATCACCTTCACCATCTCCAGCGCTCGGCTTTGGAGCCCCACCAGTACAGACACCCACGCCAACCCTTCTTCCCTCCATCCACAACACCCAGTGGCCAAAGGCACTTGCTCCAGGTGGGAAAAGTGGAGTGCAGCATGTCCTCACCAGGCTCCTGCCAACATACCAATGCCACCTCCTTCCAAGCAAGCACGGTGCCACAGGGTGTTTCTATGGCAACAAGCATCTCCAATACAGCCGGCACCGAGACTCCAGCACCGTTCTGCTGACACCGGGGGCCACGGTCCCACCAGCTCTCCATGCTCTGCAGCTCCAGGAAGGGCTCCCAGGACAAAACTCAGCCTTTGAGAGGCTTCAGCACTGACTTAGCAATCCTTTTCCAGGGTGGTCACGGCACCGTGACCTTCACGGATAACATTCAGTCTCCAGGTAGGAGCAAATGCGGGAAGGACACAACGTCCCTCCTGTGGACATCACCCCTCCTGCAGCACCAAGTCCTTGGCTTGCAGCTGGCCCTGGCACCAGCAGCCCTGCAAGCTCCCACCCCCGAGAGCAGCAGCAGAGCTGGGGTCATCAGTCACGGCGTCGTGCTATAGGCAGCCTTAAATCCCAGGCCTACCTTCCCATCGATCTCCTCAGCTCCGTGAAATTAAGAAAAACGCAAGACAAACAGAAGCGAACGTCCCTGGGCAGGCTGGAGAGAGGCAACCAAACAGCACCAATTCCCCCGAGCAGGGCTTGGGGAGCTGGCAGGCAGCGCCTGGCTGGGAAAAACAAACCCCAGCTCCAGACAGAATGCCAATCTCAGCTCAAACATCACCCCTGGGCCCCCGAGGAGGGGGGCCCACAGCACCCGGCACTGCCGGGATCCACGACCACCTGCAGCAGGAGAGGGGATGGGGCTGCAAATGCCTTTGCCGTTACTACATGGAGTAAATTTGTCAACAAATGACATGAAGAAATTACATGGAACGCCTCAAAGGTCTCCCTCCTTCCCCAAAAATCACCTCCCAGAGCAGACCTGCGCTTTAAGGATTAAATGTGGCTGGGCAACTCAACACAACACAACATTATTAATGTCTATTTTCAACAAGCATCCCCATTCCACCCATTCTCTCTCTCTCTCTCTCTGTCTTTTTTAACCATCACTTTAAAGTCTCTCCTGTCCAACTGTGTATTGTGGGGGAAAAAAAAAAATGTTTAAAAAAAAGAACAGGAGAAAAAAGTAATTTAAAAGCTTTAAATCCAGTTCTCTGGTCTCCGACCCCCTGAAGATTCCTGCACAGAAAATAAAGTGCTTAGCTGCCCTCCTTAAAAAGATTTAATCTCCCATATTTCAGAGCTTGTATGATTAAACCCTACCTCTAATTCTGCTTTCAGAGCCACAGCCAAATCTCTGCTTAAAGGAAAGCGGTGCTGGTGCCTCTCCTCCCGTCTCCCATACAGAGCTGTGTCCACGTGGATGTGGGGGAAGAGCTGGAGGTAGTAAGGCAGCTCCAAGCATCCCTGGATCCTAGTGCTTCCTTGCCAGAGATGGAAATACCCTTTTTTATGCAGCCTTTGAGCAAACTGAGCTTTCCTATGAGCAGCTCCGGGGGAACACGGCAGGAGGCAGCGCAGGGGACCTGCTGGGCCAGCTCAGAGGCTCCCACTCCAAAACATCAGCAGCTCTATCCCACCTGTGGCAGCAGAATAGCAAGGAGAGGAGACCCAGACTTCAGCTGGGAGAGTTAGGGCAGCACAGAGCCAGCACCAGCACAAAAATCTGGTATGGGAGCACCCAAAACAGGAGGCGTGGGGGCCACCCCACGTGTCTCTGAGATGCTCTGAGAACTCAATGTAAGCAGGGGCCATGCTGGAAGGAAGAGGTTTCAACTGGCCCCTGGTGAATTCCTGACATGCTAGTCACTCATTTACTCTCACCTAGGAATTACTGACCATTTCTACCAGGAAAGAGGATGACAACCCACCCTGCCCCAGTGACCTTCATCCCGGGGCAGGAGGAGATGGAGCATTAGCAATGGGACTGTTGCTTCCCACAAACACATGTCCCTGCTTTCTCTGCTGTATGATATACAAAGAGTTTGTTAAAAACCTGTGCTAGTAAGGTGGAAGTTTGTACTAGGATGGGGGGGTCTGTGAGAAATCCACTTTCCAAAGAGGCACAGCACAGCAACCTTCACCTGCTAAAATCTGGAGGGAGCTCAAGGCCAGCTCTCCAACACACCCAGCAAACGTGTCCCAGGGTGAGATGGAGACAAATCTCCAAGGAGCAAAGCACTCCAACAGCCAAGATGATGATTATTAACGTAAGAGTGTTGTAGCTCTCACCAGAATCAGGAGATTTGAGCTTGAGTTTGATGAAAAAATATCCCCTGACACTTCTGTTGAGGAACTTTCGCTGAAATTCCATGGGCAAACTATACAAAATCAAGTTTCACACCTTCCCCATCCCCTTGTTCAACAGAGACTTTTATGCTGCCAAAACCTATTTATTTCTTGCAAATCTCTCTGAGCTACTGCTCATGAATAGAAATGCTTTTATCAAAAAACTGCTTGCATTTGCCACTGAAAATTTTAAAACAAGCGTTTTCAGGGGGAGGCAGGTTTGCCTTCTGTGAGAAAACCTCATGTAACGCCCCTTCGGAGTATTTTTACTTAAAAAAAAAGAAAAAAAGTATTTTAGGTACGTCAGCCCATGAGATGGGAACAAAAAGACAATACTGCTTCCAAGCTTGGCTTCAAAGAAGACCACCCTGCACCCAGTCCTGCTGGGAAGGGGACCCCCAGTGCCATCTCCCTGAGGAAATCACTGTGATGTGTTTCCCAAACAGCACAAAGGGATTTGAGGCTGAATTTCAGCCCCAGCAGTGCCTGGTCTCCTCGAGCTGTCATAATTACCAGGGCAAACCGTGGCAATTGCACCAGCATCCGAGATGCTGAGCATCCATCAGCTTTGGGTGGTTAATTATTGTCATCCCTTGGGGTTAAACTCAACCCCAGAATTTGAGGCAATCCCACTGTCCTTTCTGAAAGCCAGTCACTTTGTTCTGGAGACTGCTGCATCTGGGATATTTGGATTGCTCTGGAAACAAAACAAAAAAACCCCTACATCTCCCTAATGCCAATCACTGTATTGTCTCCTCACCCTTGGTAAATATTTCCGTGCAGAAGAGAAAATGCATCTCCTGTCCCTACCACCACAGATCCAAAGGGCAATGATATGTCTGGGTAAATGAACAGGTAGATGTACTTTCATTAAAATCACCACATTTAAATTACTCACAGATGAGATTGAAGACATGAGGCTAAAAACTTAATTGACTAAATCAACTGAGACGCCGAGGGCTGATTATATCATTTAAAATAAATGTAATATTGGCCATCAAAAACTGCACAATATATTATTACATATCAAAAGCCATTATTCAAGAAGCACAAACAATATCCTCCCAAAGCCCCGGTGGATTTAAGAACATCACCCTCCCTGCTTTTCTTGATTGTTTTCCTCCTTCCACAAACCATGGTGGGAGAGAAAAGCAGACGCCTTCCTGCGAGTCCCCAGAATCCAACATCGGAATAAAAATCTCCCTGGCTGCTTTCTCATCAAAGATGCACCTCTGTTTTAAGGCTAAAGGTGGGCAGGTACAGCCACCTTGCCCGACCTCGTATGCAGTTTGAGATGTACCCTCGTGATACCCACATTTTTCCCAGGAAAATCTGAACCCTGGCAATGGGAGTGGTTGAAAGCCCTCTCCTCCCACCATAAACTGTCTTCTTCAAAACCCTTTGAGCTACGCAGGCTCCCTCCACTTCCATCTTCACACCTGAGCTTTGTTTTCTGCGAGCCACCAGCAGCCCCAGCGCTGGAGCTGGTGGCTGCCACCACATTTGTCCCTCCCTGCCAAGGGACAGGAGCACAGTCCCTGTCTCAGCATCTTGGGGACAAGATACCCCGGCACGAGGTGTCCACTCCCCACTTGCTAAAACTCATCTCCACCACCCACCCAGAGATATAAGCATTCACACCCTTAATAAGAGCTGAAAAGCCTGGAAACCCTTCAGCAAACAAGCCCGTTCCATGCAAATCCCGATCAGCTTGCAAATGATTTCCTAGCCCAGACTGGGAGCTCATTACAGCCTGGGTGTTATCAATTATGGATGGCTCTGGTGGCCCTGCAGCCCAGGCTCTAGTGCCACAAGGAGCTGTTTGCTCCACGCCTGCAATCCTTGTCCCTCTGCTCTCCTCCTGCTCCCCATGGACGGGCAGGAGGAAGGAGCCAGCCCAAGCCACAGCGGCATCACTAAACCCACACCAAGGCAGGGCAAAGTGGGGAATAGCCCCCAAAGCCTCCCTATAACATCAAGAACATGCAGATCGGCCCCTGGACTCTCCATTATACCACTTACATTATAATTGTAAGCGGTGCCATCAAGGGTTTCTCAAAACCCACGTCTGTTCTTAAAGGCTCAGCCAGGGAAAGGCTCCTCTACCGCAGGAAGAGCACATTAGCATGCACAGGGAAGAGACCATGGGCTCCCAGAGCTCCCAGCCTGGCTGGGAAGCAGCCTGGCAAAAAGCAGGGCTCCCTGGATGCTCACTTTGCCAGGCTGGCAGTGGTGCCATCCCTCACCACCCTTCCCACATCCCTTTGCCCGTGGAGCCAGGCGTGCGATTCAATTAGTTGTTCCCATCTGGAAGGGTTGCAGCAGTTGGGATCTCACCCGGGGTCCCAAGGGATCATTCATGCAACTGGACACCTACAAGGGCCAGTGGCCAGGATGAGCTTTGCCCAGGGACCTGCAGCGTGGAGGGGCAATGACATGGAGCAGGGGGCTCTGTCCCAGCAGGTCTCATCCTAAATCCAAAACACTGCCTAGGAAGAAAATTAACTCTATCCCAGCCACAACCAGGACAGCAGGGAAGCTCCTCACAGGTGCAATCTGTGCTAAACAAGGCAAGAACACATTGCCCCCTTTCCCGGACCCCCTGGCAGCCCATGGATGGGGGTGAGGGCCCCGACGTGGGGCGGGAGCTCCTGCACAGCTGCAGCCCCTGAACGGCTCCCCCCCAGCCATCCCACCAGCTTTTAGGGCACGGAGCACATATCCCACCCCATGGAGCGTGCCCTGCAGGGGGGCTGCATTACAAAGCCATTTACTGAAAATAAAAAGCCAGAAGACCCAAGCGAATGCAGTGTAATTGCAGGGTTTGCAGGCGTGAGGCTCTCTCAGTCTGCACACGAGTGTCATGAGAAAACAAGGCTTGGGGAGCCCTCGCCAAAACCAGTCCTGTGCGCTGCCTGAAACACGTCCCAAACACACACACGCACACACGGCTTCCTAAATCCTACCTGCTCCTCTCCTGCTCTGGAGGAGGGAGGCTGGTGGCAAGAGCCAGCCCGGCTGGAATGCTGCACATCTGGCAGCTGCCAAACTCGGGATGGCTCCTCTCCCCGTGCTCGGGGCAAAACAGGCAGGAGGGCACCGTCCAAGCCAAGGGGCTGCTCTCCCTGCCTGCTCCTCCCCGGCCTCACAGGGGGTTTAAGCTGCTGGATGCTTTAGGAAGAGCAGCTGGGAGCCAGGCGTGGGCAGGAGAGGTGTTAAAATTCCCGTCACGACCCGGGAGGAGACATCCCCAGCATCCCGCTGCAGAGCGAGCTAATCCTGCCAGGTTAATTCTCATCCTCAATTCATTCCAGTTTATTAAAGCCAGCAGGCACCCTGCAGAGGATTCATTACCTGTGTCACTGAAGGCAAGGCTGGGCCTTAATGAGCTGAGAAATGGGGAGCTGGGTGCACCCTGGATGTGGGGATACCTGCAGCCCCATTCCCAGGGGCAGTGCTACCATAAACGAGAGGAATGTGCAGGACTTCTGCAAGGTCCCAGGTTGCATCCAGGCATGTCTCGCTCCCCTTTTCCTCCCCATGCACCTGCTGTCACCAAACCCCACGTGTCATGCACCGGCCTTGGAGCTCAACCTGGAGCTCACCAGCTTTTATTTGCAGGGAATTACTGGCAGAGGGCAAAAGGAGATGAATTTTCAGCCAGGTGAGTGAGCACATTACCAGCCAGAGAGATGGCAGCTGCTGCAGTACATCTTCATCCCTTTAAATAGTTCCCAGCCTTCCCCCCGCAGAGCCGGGCGGGCTGTGTAAAAGAGATCTCTCCTAATTAATCTAGTCCTCTCCATCTCTGGTGAAACAGAGCCGGGGCTGGTGGATAAAATGTTGCAGGAGCTAACAGAGGATGGCAGGCTTGCGTTAGCGAGGCAGAAAGCGCGTGGTGGACTTCAGCCGAAGGGGCACAATTATTTTACCACCATGCTATGCCTCTAATCCCAGACCTGTCTGGCATCTTCCAGCACCAGCCTGCCTTTTTCATCTGGGTTTTATCCCCCCCCCGCCCATTTTTCGCTCCAGTCCCTTTTTTTCTCACCGGGTGGCTATTTAATTTGTTGCATTCCATGCTTTCCTTTTCATGAGCAAAAAAAAAAAGAAAAAACTTGCATCTGGGCTTTCTGTTTCTCTCTCATTCCATTTTCAAAAATTTTGCGTTTTATGGGGGGAAAAAAAGAAAGGGAGAAAAAAGGATGGGATGGAAAATGCTAAAGGAGGCAGGAGATGAAAGTAGCTTTTACATAAAGTCACAAGAGGAAGGATGCAAAGAGGAGTGGAGAGAGCATCGGATGCCACTCACACCATTTTTTCGGCCATAGAGGAGTGAGGCGAGTCAGACAACGGCTTCCAGGGGCTGCAGCAGAGCAAAAACGTGCCCAAAAGCACTGAGCCACCCCAAAAAACTGGGAGAACAACATGCTGGGGATGCCTGGGGATCCCTTGCCTCCTGCAAGGGGCTGGGCTAATGTTACCACCTTAGCCTACACCACGCTGCCTTCCTCTGCAGTGCATCATCATCTTCCCTAAAAGCTCTGCTCCACCTCCTCACCTCCACCCACTGTCCCTGTGAATCCTTTTTGCTCTCAGGAGCAGCATTTTAGGCCCCCACACCTTCCTGGCAGAGCAGCTCAGCAAAACCTGCACACATACTCCCCTCCAAGACCTCGCCTATTTAAGCCCAAGCAGGACTGCTC